ATTCAAAATCAAAAAAGAATTTAACATGAAAATGAAGATGTATTAAAAACTTATTCAACGTCAATATTACTGTTGGGATGAAATGGATTTAGATAAAAAGATATTATTGTGGGTAGAATTACAGAATTTCTCAGCATCAAGGGTCACTAGAAAACGCTTCAAAAAGGGCCTTCTTTGATGCATGGGTTGTCTTGGAGGATCCTCTACATGTAAAAAATATTAAATGTTTAGTAAATAGTTCATAAGGAAAGGAATGAAGTTGAGATTGATATTAGGATTATCTGAAAAATAGAGAAGGAAAAATGGTACAGTAGAGTATTATTAAAGGAAAGGCATTTATGAATACATTGAGATAGTAACATTATTAATGGGAGTGAGACTGAACCACTATAACCCAATCATTATAATGATGGTTTATACATTGACTGTTTACAACAAAATATATCATCCTAGTATTCTCAAAGGTCAAACAACATACAAAGTCAGATCCCAACAAACAAACAAAAGAAATCAAGGATTGAAAAACAAAATCCCTTGTAAGAAGTGTAAACCTGGGGATCTAAAACAAAGAGGACATGCATAGAGTTGTAGACTAAAGCATCAACAAAATTCTTCTCAATGCGTGATCAAACATTGACACAAATTGCCTATCCATCAGCAAGAATAAACAGCACATTCTTAATGGATTCATGTCATAAATTTATGAAAATTTTATGTTGTAACTTGATTCTTTCCAAGAACCCACAACCCCTTCCTTGGGTAAAGCATTGAAAAATTGTTGACTTCCCTTTCTCACATCAAAAGGATTATTAGATAGCAATAAATAAAACATTGTATTTTTAACATAATAATTAGAATAAAATTGTAATCCCTGATTTTGACTACAATATGGTATTTAGATTTATTTATTAATAAGGATGGAGGGTGGAGATGAATATTATGTGATTTACCCCTTCCTTCACATTTTCTTTCCCCCCTTGATTTCTTGTCCTCCACTTATAAAATTTAACACAAACCTAACTTAGAACATATTTATGTAAAATCTTTGAACATGTGTGTAATCCAATTTTCCAATAGAGGTATAAGCAAAGCCAAATTAGAAAATAAAACCCTAAACCCTAAACAAAAAAATTAATAAAAATAATAGCCTCAAGAACATGAGGAAACAAACAAGTACATGGTAAAGAATAAAAATAGTAAATTTCCGCGAGCATGAATAGAGAAAAGAAAAAAGAAATAAAAACTATAACTAATTTCCAAGCAAGGTCAAAAACAAAGAAAATACATGAAATCTGAAACAACCCAAAGGGGACAAATGGTTTTGAACCCAAAAGGCCAAATTGAAGAGGTAAAACACAAGAACACATTAAAGCACAGATAAAAAAGAAAAAAAAAATGTAAATAGAAGGAAGAAGAAAACGAAAGAGTGAAAATGCCAAATAAACTCTTGAAACCCAAAACACAACAAGGATAATTGAAGACCCATGATTGACATCGAGAAGACAAAGCCGAAAGGATCAGAACATGATACCGAATTCAGGCAAGCCACGCCCACTAACTGTACAAACCGGAACCATTAGGGTCAAATCCTCACAAATCATAAACTCTCATGTCATTGTGGAAAGATAAAAGAATCACGGATAAAAAAAAGAATGATGTGAGAAGGAAAAAGCCTTATGTGTGCTCTAAGCCAAAATCCAACCAAACCTAAAGCAAGAAACCTCTTGAAAACGCCACATGTCAAAATCTTATGTAGGCCTTAAGCCAAAACCCAACCAAACCCAAATGTTTGTAGCATTGTTGATTTATGTAGATGACATTATTATAGGAAGCACTCCCAATCAGCTCTATCTAAGTTCAAATTTCCAGTTGAAAGATCTCTGTGTAGTTAAATACCCTTTAAGACTTAAGGTTGCAAGAGTTTTTGAAGGAATATCAATTTGTTAAAAGAATGCATTTTTGACATGCTTGAAGAATATGGTTTGCTTGGTAGCAAACCTGCATCAACTCCTATGGACTATAATAGTAAGCTGTAAAAGACTATAACAGAAAATACGTTGCCAGATCCTACAAACTATCGACAGCTTGTTGGAAAATTGTTATATTCGACATTTACAAGGCCAAACATATCTTATTTAGTTCTAGTTTTATCTTAGTTCATGGACAAGCCTTCAAATGAGCATTTGTCAATTGCATTTCAAGTCCTAAAGTATTTGAATGGTTCACAAGGGCAATGAGTTATAATGAAGTCAAATTCAAGCCTAAAAAGTCATGCTTTCTGTAACAATGATTAAGCAGGCTGTCCCAGTATTCACAAGTTTGTTACAAGGTACCATGCATTTGTTGGAAACTCCATGGTTAGTTGAAAATCGAAAATGCAATCCATGGTTGCTCGTAGCTTACCTGAAGCCGAATATTGGTCTACGGCAGTAGTATGTTATGAAATCATGTGGTTGAAATCATTGCTAGTAGATTCTGGGATTAGTCATACAAAGGCAATGAAGCTATATTATGACAGTCAATATGCCATGGACATTAGTAAGAACCCTATGCTTCATGAATGCACAAAACACATAAAGTTAGACTATCATTTTATAAGGCAGAAAGTACTTGAAGGCTTGATAGAGCCAATTTATGTTTCAATAGAAGTGTAATTGGTAAATATTTTTCATAAAGGCTTTGTAGCCAAACGACTTTCATCATTTACTCAGCAAGATGAATGTGCATAACATACACATTTCATCTTGAGGGGGAGTATTAAAATGAGAATTAGCTTTCAGATGAAATGAAGCTTGCAGCTTGAAAACTAAAGATTAAAATGATAACTTAAGGTTGGAAATGAAAGATTCAAGTTTCTGCAAGTTATTCAAAGTTCAAAATGGAGTTACATAAAGACACATGCTTACTAAACTCAATAGAGGAGACAGGTGAACTATTTATTAATTAACCTTAATATTTACTTTACTTTTTTTTTTATTTTTACTATTCTAATTGTTAATTAGTTAGCTTTTGTTTTTATTGTCATAAAAGTTAGTTAGTACTTATTTTCTTTTTCTAATAGACTTATACAATCTGTAGTATAAAGACTTCATATTGTAAATACATTAGCTAAGAAATGAATAAGCTCATTGCCATTCATTAACCACTCCCTTGGCTCATCAATCTTGCAATTTCAACATGATTTTTGTCTTTTGGGTTCACTAGATAGGTTTGTTGTTATTTTTGTTTATTTGCATTGTTTGTCCATTTTGCTTCTATTTAACTTGTCAATTAAAATTCTCCTATGCAAGTATATGTATGAAATGGACAGTATATTAGCAAGTAAAGTATCAATCCCACAGGAAATTGATCTAAAATTTTACTAAGGACTAAAATTAGAATAATTTAGTTTTATTCGAATAATTAAAATCTGAATTCTAATTGAACTAAAAATTACGCAACTAAAACTAATTTAATTAAAAATTAAAGCAACAAGATAATTAGGCAAACAGCAAATCAAACAAGCTTAGGATTACAATATCTCTCACACTTCATCTAAATCTTACCTCTCTTCCTTAATTTATTTCAATGGGTTGAATTGCTAACCTAGAGTCCTAAATTATTTATAAGGGTCTCCCGACTCATCTTATAAAAATATCTATTTTAACCAAAACACTATATCTCTATGTGAATTGAAATTAAAATAGATTTATTAAGTTCAGGCTCTAATCTGGCTATATATGGCCTATAGGTATATCCCTATCCTATACGCAAATCAAGTAATATGATCATATGCTATCCCAATTTTAGTCTACACTAAACTCCCTTTCCCAAGTTTGTTTAAGTTCCTAAATCAATTTAACTGGTGGCCAAGTAATTAAAAGTATTAAGAACAAATTGGAATAAACAATTCAAGTCCCATTGAAAAAAAGCAAGAAAGAGATTAAAAATTTAGATTACATGTAAGTTCAATTGCAATCCTAGAAAAATAAATTAGCTCATAATATCTAATAAAGACAATATCCAAAGAAATTTAGCCATGAATCCAAGTCAAAGAAAATAAGAAAAACACAAAAGTAAGAGAGAAAACTAATAATTAGAGCTTTGTGATCTTGATTCTCCCTCCAATTCCCTTATTTTCTTGCTTTGTTCTTGGCTTCCAATCTCTAGAATAGTTGCTTGCTGCCTCCTCTCAAAATCTTTGAAAAATGTCCCTTAAATAGGCTTCAAATAACTTAATTTCCAAAATCCTGTCAACTTCTTTTATTTTTGAAAAGTCGCCCAGTGCTGTGGCGCTACTTCTTCAGTGCTGTAGTGCTGAGCTCTCTGAAAATTTGTATGTTTGCTTCCTTTCATCAACGCTGTAGCCTTGTTCTCCCAGCACTGTGACAGTCTATCAACTTCAAACATGAGTTTCACCCTGACATGTTCCGAACTGGGCAAAGTAGTAAACATAAAAGTTTTAGTCCTATCTCTTAACTTTCAAATGGATCTAGAATCACATCAATTGAACTCATGGATTGAAAGATATGCTTCAAATACCGCATCATATTCAGTCCTTGCATACTGCTGCAGTGCTCCGAATTTGACAAATATTTTGACCATGATTCAATCAGAACTAGGTGAATTGGTAAAAATAAAAGTTCTAACCCTTCTTCTTATAATTCTAGTTATCTAAGAATCACCTCATTTGGAGTTGTTTAGAGAAAGATATGGTCAAAAAACCAAAACATATACAAATGAAATTATCGCCATACTTGCACTGATTTTCATCAAATGAGTCTTTTTCATCAATTTCCTATAAAAGTCATAAGAGAAATTAGCAATAACTACTCTTAAAGTAATTTAAAACAAAATAACATAAAATTTAAATAAAATAATTTAAATTAATCACTTAACAAGTAATCAAACTTAAACTAGAAAAACACATAAAACGCTAAAATCTGAACCTAAAATCTCAAAAATTTAACTACTTAAGCTCCCAAAATATGTCAAAATAACTCTATATAGTAAAGTTATCAATGGCCTCTTCCAATTTTAATGCACCTTCACCACTTATTTTCACTGAAGAAAACTTTCCGATATGGAGTGTTAAAATGAAAGCTTACTTAAGAGCTTTCGATTTGTGGGAAGTTGTAGATACCGGAAGTGAGCCACCAAAGTTAAGGACAAATCCCACTACTGCACAAATCAATCAACATAATGAAAAAGTTGCTGAAAGATACAAGGCATTATCTTGTATACACTTGGTAGTTTTAGATTCTATATTCACCCATATAATGGATTGTAAGATAGCCAAGTATGGGACAAGCTTAAAGAAGAGTTCCATGGCAGTGATAGAACTTGGCAATTGCAGGTACTAAAGCTCTTGAGAGAGTTTGAAGTTTTGAAAATGAATAATGAGGAAACTATAAAAGGTTATTTTGATAAGGTTTTGAAGGTTGTAAATCAACTGAGATTTACCTAAAAGAAGAATCGTCAATAAAGTCCTTGTGAGTTTACGAGAGAAGTTTGAAGCAAAAATCTCTTTATTTGGATACTCAAAGGACATGCAACAATGTAATTAAAAACTGAGTTAGGCAATGCATTACAAGCTCAGGAGCAGAGGAGAGCTTTGAGACATGAAGACCATGTTGAGGAAGCTTTAACGGCTCGAACCAGAGACAAAAGAAATAGCAGCAATAGTTCAAAGAAATTTGATGGTGAAAACAAAGAAAAAGAGAAGAAGAATGTTGATAAGAGACAAAGGAAGCAAAAACCTCAATTTCCTCCTTGCTCATATTGCAAAAAGAGAAATCAAACAGAAAAATTTTGCTGTTATCGACCGACCGTGAGGTGCAGGTCCTGCCATCAACAAGGACATGTGGAAAAAGAATGCAAGAACAAGGGTTCAAGAGGAAAAGAAAAAGTTATCGTGGTGGAAGAACGAGAAATCGCTGAAGAAGTCTTGTTCATGATGAGAAAACCCGACTGCTCAATAAAAAAAGGAGTTTGGCTCATTGACAGTGCTTGCTCAAACCATATGACAGATAATGACAACCAGTTTATTTCCTTGAATAAAAGCTACAAGTCTACTATTGAAATTGGTAATGGGGATCTACTTCAAATTTGCCGCTCGGGTACCGTGGGAGTTAAAACTGAATCAGGTATCAAATCAATTCCTAATGTTCCTTTTGTGCCAGAGATTAGTCAAAATTTATTAGGTGTAGGCCAATTAACTGAGGAAGGTTACATTTTAGTCTTCAAAGGCAAGGCTTGCTCAATTTTTTATTCTTCTAGAAAAGAATTATTGACAGTAGGCATGAGAAACAGGTGTTTTCCTTTGAAGTGGAAAGATGTCAAGAATCAAGCTTTTTCTTGTGTGTCATCTGATGCCAAATTATGGCACAGAAGACTTGGTCATGTTAACTATTAAGTCCTTGAAATTTATGGCCTCTGCGGGGCTTGTTAATGATCTTCCCTTGCTATCCGAAAGTGAAGAGATGCGTGATACTTGCCTCCATGGAAAACAGAACAGGCTACCTTTCCCAAAACAAAGTCTGTCAAGAGCTTTTAAACGCCTTCAAATAGTACATACTGATGTTGGAGGACCTGTACAAACTCCATCTATGAATGGGAGCAAGTATTTTATCCTTTGTATTGATGACTTTAGTCGCTAGTGCTGGATATATTTTTTGAGAAGCAAAGCTGATGTATTTAACTGTTTTGTGAGATTGAAGGCTTTATGTGTAGAATCAATCAGAGAATAAAATTAAAGCCTTGAGATCTGATAATGGCTTGGAATACAACTCAAAGGAGTTCAAGAGGTTTTTAGCTCTCCATGGAATCAAACAACAAGTTACAGTGTCATATACCCGGGGTAAGTATGGAGATAACTAGGTGTCTTTTGTTTGAGCATCATTTATCTAAGTTCTTTTGGGCCGAGGCAGCAAATGTTGTAATTCAGTTGCTCAATATTGTGCCGACTAGAGCTTTAGACTCAAAGACACCATATGAAGCCTGGTTTGATTAAAAACCATCAGTGATGCACTTAAAAGTGTTGGGTTGTATTGCCTATGCCCAAGTTCCAAAAGAAAAAAGAACCAAGCTTGATGATAAGTCCACTATCGTGATCCATATTGGCTATAGTGACTCATCTAAAGGTGATTATCAGCAGGGCCATAAAGTTTGATGAAAACTTGTGCTGGAATTGAAAAAAAAAAACCCAAAGTGAAAGCATGATCAAACCACCAAACCCCAAAAAATGAGAACAAAAAAAAATACGGGTGGAAGCCAAGAAGAAAGAAAAAAACTGAGAATGGCAAAGGGCAAAAGAAACAATAAAAGAAATAGAAAACGATTGAAAAAAAAATAGCAGTAATTTTTCGGAAGAATGGGATGGGTAAAATACGAAACTATCCCCCAACCCATATTCACATCCAAAATGTCAAGCAAAGAGCCCTTCAACCTTCTTTTACTATATGATTATAAATTTGTAAAATAGACTAGTGATTACCACTAACACGTGGATGCAGCTTTAAAGTTTTTAAACAAAATAGCACCTTCAAAACAAACGCTCACATCCCACCAATCCGGTGAATGCTACAGTAAGTCTAATCTAAGGTCAATAAATAAAAATTTTAAAAAATAATAAAAATCTGTTTAACAAGTAAATAATATATATAATTTTTAAATTTATTTAGTTTATTTAAAAGTTATTTAAGTTTCAATTTTATTTTATTTTTAACTTTAAACTATAACAATATTATTTTTTTAATATTAAAATTAATTTTTTTTAATTAATGTAATAAAAATTATTATTATTACTTGTTACGTTAACTCTTACACATTTATGTTAAGATTTTAATTTATTTTATTTTATTTTTATAAAATTTTACATTAATTCTTACAATTTTACGTCAAACTTTTTCAATAGTAACATTTAACTATAATTATCGTTATCTTTATTATTTTTTATTTAACATAAAAATTTGAATATCGTTACATGCTTTTAGCTTGATAATATAAATATAAATGCATATTCTTCATTAAAATTAGACTTTTTT